TAGACTTTTCTTTGCTAATTATTTTAATTTATTTATTATTAGAAACACGCTCACAAGTTAACAGATGGTAGCATCAACACGTTTGTAACCTTATATACATTAAATTAAAATTAAATCAATTTTAATTCATAATTGTTTGGTTTACAGTGAACACATTTTGTACGCGTCAGCATTTAACATTAAAATTTTTATTTTTGGCCAGTACATATACGGACGCCAACAAAGTCTCGTGTGCGTACTCCTAACATTTTTAAACATTTTAACAATAAATATTTTTAAACATTTTAACAATAAATATTTTTTAAACATTTTAACAATAAATATTTTTTAAACATTTTAACTTATACATCAAAAGGTGCTGAATACCACAACATATTTTTGGTTCTTCGAAAGTGAAGTGTGATTGTGATTTTTTCGATGATAGCGAATCGGTTTGTCTTGCTTCCCAGATACGGGTCTCACCGGGCAGATTGAGAAAACAAATATATCGCTGGAAGTTCATCGTAACACGGACCGCAAACAGGAATAAACCAGTTTACTTATCGAATACCTATTAACAACAGCACCATGGTAGACTTACAAGCAAATCACCAACATATGGTTTCTGGTATGGAGCAGCTGCTCAGCAACTTTAAAAAGGACGGAGGCGACCGTAGGAATGCTGCTCATATAAAAAACGATTGGAGACTTTGGATACTTACTGGCAGGAATTTCATAACCTTCACCTCCAGGTACGTGAGTTGTGTGATGAAAACCATTCCTACATTGTGCAGAATCAATATGGATAAGTTCTTGATTTTTATATAAAAACAAAAGACTACATGCAAAGTTTCTTACCAACTGAAGAAAAATCAAGACCCTCTACTCCGAACATTAACCAGCAACTTTCAACCCCGCGCCGTCTACGTCGTCAGCAACACCGCTACAAGTATACCGCAGTTCTAACAGCAGGCTGGATGAGATGTTGCGTAAAAAAAAGCAACTTAAGAGCTTTTAATCGAACTTTAGCAAACATTGACTTAGATTTGTTAGACAATAACTGGGAATTAGAAGATGCTCTGAAGACCTTGAGTGTTAGATATGTGGCGGCGCTGTCGTCGCACCGGAAGCGAAACACACCGAAGCCTTAAATCACGCCATCAAAATTCCGAATCATAAACAGTATATATAGAACATCTCCGAACTATCACGGCCGCTCCCAGGGCTGAACACCTTGCCCGGCGGGAAATCTCCCCTTTTCCTTCTACGGCCACAGTGCTGACCACCCAACGTGATCTGAACACGCAACCAACAACCTTCGGAGACTTCAAGCTTCATCATCGTCATTGAATACCCCATCCATTCGCTCCCGAGCAGATATCGTCTGCAGTCTTCATATCCTGCAAGCCATCTAGCTTCACAAGGTTCATCGTAGCACTGGAATAATAATGCTTCCTGTTCCTTCAAGCTACTCTCTGCGCCACAGTGTTCGGCACGGCTCTGAGCCTTACTGCTCGCCTCTGCTTCACGGCACTCTCGCCGATTACTTGCCTTCTTCTCGACTCACTGCAGACTATAAGGCAATCTCCTGGCACTTGCACATTCGTCGGCAACGAGGCTGCACTATCGACCTCCGGTCTGAGCAGGGGGGTGATGTTGCGGCGCTATCGTCGCACTGCAAGCGAAACACACCGAAGCCACGCCATTAAAATTCCGAATCATAAACAGTATATATAGAACATCTCCTAACTACCACGTGGAGTGTTGGCCGCGCCCCGGGCATAATACCTTGCCCGGCGGGAGATCTCACCTTTTCCTCACCACGGCCATAGATGGAACGCTATCGACTCTCTCTATTGGGAGCCCGATAGCAAGCTAGAGGGTACTAACATCACATACGTACAAGAATTTTCCATCCATGACAGAAGCTTTAGTGACATAAAAAATGCGATCAACAAGAAAATATGGTCGACAGGTCATCAAGAAAAATTTACACCGAAGCTTGATATTCCTATATTCAACCTGAATAATCATCAATGGGTTCCGTTCAAATATTTATTTACGGAATGCACTCATAACAATCGCTTCTTTTCCAGTGCTCAAAAAATGCAATTTTAGGGAGCAAGGTAAGGGGAGAAGCGGCGCGGCTGATACAACACCTACAGATAAGCTCGGATAATTATGTTATCTGTTGGGACATTTAAACAACCGATACAATAACACGAAACTTATATTTACTTCTCATCTGAACCTCCTAATGAGTTAGCCAGTTTCACAACAATCATCCGTGACCAATATCAAGAAAATACACGACACGACGCTGGAATGTTTAAATGAAATAACAAACCTAGGAAATGACGTAAGCACCTGGGATCCGATTATTGTTTACCTGTTGACTCAAAAATTCGATAACGAAACTCATCATGATTATGTTCAATCTTTGAACATAATCTTTGGGAACTGCCAAAATAGACTGATCAAGTATGTCTGTAAACAAAGACTGATCAAGTATGTCAGCAATAATTCGTAGTGCGCGGGAGAGTGGACACGTGCTCGCCGCACCTGGTGCGCGCGACAGGGCGCGCTAGCAAACAAGGCCGTGGGCGAGAGACTAGCTGCGGCCCTGAATCCTCCAATATGTACGAATCTGATAAAAGGTATTATAGTTTAAAAAAAAACTTTAAAAATGCGAACAAATAGGCAAATACGCATATTCAATAATTATAAAAATGTTTCAACTAGTAACGCTAAGAACCTACGCTAAATACTCACTTTTAAATTTCGATTTCCCTTACTTGATTTTATTTTATAACTTTAGTATAATATTTCTTGTGGCGCGCAAATTATAATAAATAAATCAGAATTATATGATCCTTCCACAGATGACCTACTGCAAAATATATTATATGGATATTATTATATAAAATCTCTTTACTGTATTAACTTCAACAAACCATATTTCTTAAAACTATATCTTTATTCTTTTGAAAAACTTGTAAATATAGATACTTGCAATCCAAAGTTTTAAAAAAATATATTGCGAAAACTTAAGATTGAAATTATACTTCAAGAGCTTAGAAGTTAAAACTCTGCTTTGTTTAATGCCGCAAGGGATGGTAGAAACATCCATAAACTTATTTAAAATGATATTTAAGAATTATACTGCAGCCGTAATTAATTTCATTATTCTAGTCTATTAAATTTGTAGTAAGATGTTAAACTGAAAGATTTTTTTTTATAGGATAGGGTGACAAACGAGCACACAGCCCACCTGATGGTAAGTGGTTGCTGTGGCCCATAGACATCTACATCTATCCTCGATTATGAATCAAAATGCAGATGCGTTGTCACCCGTGAGGACTAAGATGGAATGCCTCGCTTCCAGTAAAAAGGGTCTCCGGTTCTCTACACTCACCATACGAAACACAGCAGCATTAAGCCACCATTTCACGCTGGTATTCTGTGAGAGCGTGGTCCTTCCCCGGTCGAGCCGACCCATTCGTGCTACAACTATACTACTAATATAACTGCAGCCATAATTGCTACACGTAGTAATTGCAGTAAAGCTTAAATCAGACCATGCTATTCTGCCATAAACATTGCTTCATAATCAATCAAATACTATACAGTATATCACAATGAGAAGTCTCTACAGAATTTAATTCTGAACAATTTTGTTGTGCTATATAACATTTGCTATACTTATACAATATGTAACAAAAACCCTGTGGTTCCCGTTAAGTGCGTTATCAGAATTAGTATACAAAAGTAGGTATAGAAATAACTTTACTTCAGAAAACTTGACATAAAAATAATCAAATTAAATTACCTCTGTCTTGAATTATCGACAGCGGCAGGCGGCGGCTAGCGATGACGTACATCAAAGATGGTGCGCGCGTGCGTGCGCGTCTTACCTACTAACTGCAGGCTGAGGTCGTGACCTCGTCACATCACAGCTGTTTTAGTCAAACATTAATTTATCACTATGTCTTCTTGACGACCACGAAGCTGTTGTTCAATATGTCCACCTTGTACCTCTATACATTTGCGACACCGGCTTATAAAAGAAGTCAAGAAAATACGGACCAATAATTTTGTCACCTATAATTGCCGCCCACACATTGATTTTCCATCGGTGTTGAAAATGGCTTGGTTTATACGAATGCGGATTTGTCGTTGACCATACGTGTTGATTATGAGCGTTAAATACACCTGTTCCAACAAAAGATCATTCATCCGTAAAAAGTATGCGGTTCAAAAACTCAGGATCTCCTTCAACCTTATCGAGTAACCATCTACAGTAAGTCCATTCTCCGCTCGTAGTCGATGGGAAGAAGTCACTGAACTCGACAATAATGATACGGGTGCTGGCCATCATCTTTGAGGGCTCTCCAAACCCGCATGTGGTTCACACCTAGTTCACGTGCCACCGAGCGCGTGCTCCGCGTCGCATCTTCCTCAAACATGTCGAGAATGTGCTCCTCGATGTCGTCGTCGTACATCCTCGGTTTTCCTGAATCTGTGCGTTGTTGATCACGGCCATGCACACCGCTAGTACTGTACATACGAATGTGAAGTCGTTGGAACATCATCGCCGACGGTAATTGTATATTTCGTGGAGTAGCAAAGCGCTCCTCGTAAAGTCTTCGCGCTGCTGCATAATTGCAGTCACATATACCGAGACACATCAACATATTAAAATATCCCTCGTTTGAGTAACACATCGCACACAAGTCACTCAGGGCGGAATATTAATTCTGCAATATAAAACACAACAGTCGATATCAGTGCTAACGTGCTACTGGTGCTTGTTTGTTTGTTAAGTGCACGGACGTGGCAAAGCTATTGTACTCTATCCTCTTGCGTACATCTATACTACTCATAGTACGTAATAAAAATAAAAATCTGTGGTCTTCGTTTTCGTTACCAGAGCTAAAATATTTTACTAGTGACATCTAGTAAATACACGTGTTACGACAAAAAAGTAAAACGTCACAATATCTTCTGTCATTCTTTTAAAAATGGCGTTGGAAGGTGGGCGAACGAATATGCGTTTATGCAAAGGTAAGTTAATCCATATTAATCGTATAATTTTATAGGTGATTTCATACTTTTTTGTATAAAAGAAGTTACTGGTTGTGCAAACTAATTGTTCAAAATGTTATTGTAAATATAAATTAAATACTCGGGCTGTGACCTTGATATTTTCTTCTATGTACTCTTCAAACTACAAAAGTATGCAATTAATATTTTTCTCGACTGCCTTCCCAAGTACTATATAAAGTACGTTTACGTTTTCTTCAAATATTGTGTTTTTTTTTTCAGGGTTAACATCTAACGTCATCGCAGAAGTTTTGAATGACTCAGAGTTCGATTATTCTGGAGATGATACAGATGAAGATTCAGAGTTTCATCCACCAGAAATCAATCAAACTATCCGTGATCATGCTCAAAGCGAATCCAGTAGTTCGAGCGAGGATGAAGATGATTATGTTACTTCGGTGGCTTCTCCGACAGTGTCAGACAACTCAGACTCACCTTCAACTTCGTCATACTTATTACGAGCAAGAGGAAGTGCAAGGAGAACATCTCACAGGCAGAGTTGTGGTCGTAGCCGTGGTAGAGGTGAAAGCTCACAGTTAATATCCCCTCGACAAATAGCTATAAGAACTCGACAATATAACGCAGGAATTCAAGATACTTGGGTACACGAGACACTAGATTCAAAAATTAATAGTTTGATGCAACCTGCTTACATCAATAAAAGTTCTAACGAATGGGAGTGGTACCAGTTTTATGAGCAATACGTAGATGATGATATTTTAAACTGCATAGTAACATGCACCAATAGGACACAAGTATTAGAGACCGGTAAATCGATAGGAATAAGTCTAAAGGAGCTTAAGGTCTATATAGGTATTACCATGATCATGTCCGCATTACAATATCCACAAATTTCCATGTATTGGTCTGAAAAATGGAAAGTTCCAATAATAGCCAGAGCTATGACCCGTAATAGATTTTTTCATTAGACTAAGATTAAAATGCGTTTATGACCCAGAAGTGACCAACGAACAAAAAAGTCAAAAAATATGGAAAGTCCAGCCTTTATTTGATCGCATATTAGCCGAATGTTATGAACAAAATCGTCCTCAGGAAATGAGTATTGACGAAATGATTATTCCTTTTACTAGGAAATGTCCAATGCGGCAATACTGTCCAAACAAACCCAATCCAATAGGCCTCAAAGTTTTTGTCTTAGCCTCGCCAAAAGGTATAGTTTGCGACATGGCAGTATATCAGGGAGATTCTGCATTCCCTCACTTAATCAACCAAGGATTTTGTTTGGGAGAAGCAGCCGTAATCCATATGACAAGAAGTTTAGTCCCGGGACATATACTATTTTTTGATCGTTTCTTCACGACGGCTAAACTTTGTGATGAATTGCTAAGACTGGGATTTCATGCTACAGGCACTATTATGAAGAATAGAATCCCGAAAAACTCTGTATTAACTGATGAAAATACGTTTAAAAAGAGAGCGAGAGGAAGTAACGAAGTAAAAGTTAGATAAGACCAAAAACTCGTTGTGACAATGTGACTTTATAATAAGCCCGTTCTAATGATGTCAACTTTTTATTGAGATTAAGATTATGACGAATGCGAGCGATGGTCAAAGAAAAATAGGGCATACGAAAAGGTGAGAAGGCCAGACGTTATCAAAATTTATAACGAAAAAATGGGTGGTGTCGATCTCGCGGATCGTATACTTTCTGTTTGCCCATCACGCAATCGTACAAAAAAGTGGACAATACGCGTAATTTCTCATCTTTTCGACCTATGCGTGGTAAACGCTTGGTTGCATTATAGAATGACAGAAGTCGAGAAGGGTACACTAAAGAAAAATATTGTACAAATGCGAGAGTACAAACTGAATTTGGTTACAAAACTGATTAATGATAATGAAGAAGAATGTGATGATGAACGTGAAGATGAATACGAAGAACTGGAGCCAAAACATAAAAAACGCAAGGTTCTCATTAAACCAGTTCCTTCCAAAGAAAACCGTACCAAAAGTGCAGCGCATTTGCCAGAATACGGTACAAAACAATTTCGCTGTAGGAAGAATGCTGTGATAAAAAAACTACGTTATTTTGCAAAAAATGTGAAATTTATCTATGTTTTACGCCTAATCGTCATTGTTTTACTAATTTCCATGAACATTAATACATGCAACTCCAAAAAAATTAAATATAAGAAAAAAATTTTGATCTCTAATGTTTTTATTATTAAAGTATAGTAAGTTTATAAGAAGAATTTAGTTTGTTTCTAATATTATGTTATGAAGAAAAGTTTAATTTCTGTTGATTTAGAAAATTTTAATAAAACATATTAAAATTATTCAAAAATCTATTATTTGTTGCTCTTATCTGCTCAATATGCTATTAAAATTCGTAACATCTTATACGAAGTTCAGAATAGTTAAGTGCCCTTGTACTTTGTGTAGAACATAGTGAAAAACCCGTTTTTCCTGTCATAGATTTTTTTTAAATATTTTTCCCGTACTAAGTAATGGTCAAACAGTGAAGTTTCAAGAAGAAACTTAAAAAAAAGCGTTTCTGGTACTCAGGAGGCTATAACATAATTTTTATATTTTCTAAATCGATAAAAAAGAATTTGATTTTCATGTTGTTTTTTTTAATAACAGTTATTATTTATTTATTTACTTCAGGCAGCGTCTGTAAGTGTTATTAAGAAATTAAATTATAGCTAGGATTAGTAAAAATAATTTAAAACACTTTTATAACCAGAAACATTTAAAAAATTGTGGTATAAACCCACACAATAACAAATACTTGAACTGTTATGCTGCTGTTTTTTTTTTTCAAAATCTAATAATTTGCATTTTTTATCGACCGACGATGAACAATACCTATTTTTATTTCTATTCTGGACCACTGAATGTGACAAAGTTTTATGTTTATAAAACTTCCCATGTTTTTAATATCACTACTAAATAATAGCACAGAATAAATAATAGATACGACGACCACGAAGTTATTGTTCAATATGTCCACCTTCTACCTCTACACATTTGCGACACCGGCTTATATGTTCTATCGATGAACGATAAACAATACTTATTTTTATTTCTATTCTTGATCATTGAGTTGCGACAAAATTTTATGTTCATAAAACTTTCCACGTTTTTAAATATTGCTACCAAACATCATAATACAGAATAAATAATACTTAGATATTAAATCAAAATTAGTTAGTTGGCATAAAGTGGATGCTAATTTTTATCACTCGAAGAGTGGAGTTTTTTGGGGTTTTCCTAATATCTTACGTCGGCTTTTGGTTTGCAAAACGCCGCGTATATTACATATTAATTTTTGTTTTGTTTATTATATTCTAACTATAAACAACATATAAATTTATTTAAAAAATAATGACTACTACATATTCATTATTGACTAATATTTCATATGAAAAATACATTCTAAATTTCTCCTACAAATAGTTGCAAATTTGGAATTAATCACGATATTTTATGCTTGAAATAGCTTTTTTTAAATATTTTCCTGGATCTATTTAGCAATAAATTGCAAATTTATAACATAAGTATTCAAATACTATGTGTATTGAGGTTGAAAGAAAATCCATTTCATTACAATTTCTATTATTTTTAAATTAAAATTTTCGGAGAATAATTGAGTCTAGATAGGTATAAAGTTTTACACAAAAACATTGGGGAAGCATGCGTCACTTAGCGGCTTGGTTTGAGTCGGTCATATCATTGAACTCTTATCGGCCGTAGACTATTATTTATTTTGTGAAGTAGATAATATTATGTCGGCATGTGTCGGTAAGTTCAGAATCAAATAACATTTTTAGAAATTTCATCATCATCATCACCATTACAGCCCTTCACAAGTCTACTGCTGAACAAAGGCCTCCCTTTTTTTTTGCGCCTGAAGCAAATATGGGCAACCCTCCGGAAAACGGGGGAGGGAGATGTGGAATGCTCATAGCATACCACGCAGCCGGCTGCGTGGTTATGTGGAGACTTTTACCCACTAAACCCCACCTTTTAGGGACTGGCTTAACGGTCTAACTAGAGATCTCTAAGCCGTATACGAACGCGACCCTCCTTGGCAGAAAGGAGGGCGCAAGTGGCGATAAGCCTCTTAGACGAGTGCCCAGCTAAGGCAGATTAAGGGATGTGTTATGTAGGCTCGGCCTGAGCCGCCAGGAAGCAGTTCAGGTCAGCCGAAAGCTTGTTGGGGGGGGGGGGTCCGAGAGAGAGTTTCTCGGTCTGCGCACACTATAGCGAGTGTGGATAGGGGCAGCATAGGCAGCTGTCTCACGAATGAGATGATTTGGGTGGGACTCTGAGGCTTTGAAAAATCTCTCAGAGAGCGATCTAAGGAACTTCTGGATTGTTGGGAGCTCTAAATCTCGGTGTAGGTCGGCACTACGGACATAATATGGCGAGTTTGTGGCCCTACGACAGAATAGATTTTGAACTATTTGAAGTTCATTTATAGCTTTGGGCTTAGCATGTGCGAAAATGGGAGCCGCGTAGGTCATGACAGGTCGTATGCAGACCTTATATAGGGTTCGCTTGTTGCGGAGGGACATTTTACTGTGTCTGCCCAACATGCTGTTGAGCCTACCCATGTAAAAACGTGCGGTGCGAGTAACCTTCTTGATATGGGGCTCGAAAGTGAGCCTTGCATCAAGGGTGACGCCTAAATATTTGGCTGTAGTTTGCCATGGGACAGGGGTTCCTAACATTCTGATTGGTGGAGTGGTGGTGAGACGGCGTCGTTTATATTCGAAGCAAACGGCGGAGCTCTTCTCCGGGTTTACGTCGATACACCATTTTTGGAACCAAGCTCCTAAGTCGCTTACTGACTTTTTGATCTTGTTCCGAATCTGTGGCAGTGAGTTGCCTTTAGAGTAAAGGGCTGTGTCATCTGCGAAGGGGGCTAGTTTAACACCATTCGACGGGATAGGGATGCCGTTAGTGAATAGTATATATAGGAGGGGGGCAAGCCTTGAGGGATACCGGCTTTGATTTGACGAGTAGAGGATAGCGTGCCTTCGTGTCTAAAGCGAAAGGTACGATCCCTCAGATAAGAGGCTACTAGGCGAACGAGACGGTCCGGGAGTCCTAAGTCGTACAATTTGTAGATAAGGCCCTCGTGCCAGACTCTGTCGAATACCTTGGCAATGTCGAAGAAGACCGCGATGGTTTTTTGACGACGAGGATAAAAACCGCTGAGGATATATTCCACTATGCGGTGAACTTGCTGGGGGCGATAGGCCTCCCACAAGTAATGCCACAAAGCACGGTCCTGAGCCACCTGCATCCATCGACTTCCTACATATACTACCAGGTCGTCACTCCATCTAGTGGGGGGTCGCCCTACATTACGCCTACCGGTACGAGGCTGCCGATCGAGAACCTTTCTTCCCCATCGGTTATCGGTTCTTCGAGCTATATGGCCGGCCCATTGCCACTTCAGCTTACTTATCCGGTGGACTATGACGGTCACTCCGGTTTTACTGTGGATATCCTCATTTCTGAGTCTATCACACAGAGAAACTCCGAGCATAGCCCTCTCCATAGCTCGATGAGCGACCTTGAGCGTCCTCATACGGCCAGCAGTGAAGGACCACGTCTCAGATCCGTAAGTCATCACTGGCAACACACACTGGTTGTACACTTTAGTTTCAGAGATTGAGGTATACCTGAAGAGAAGATGTGTCGTAATTTCCCGAACGCTGCCCAGCCGAGTTGAATCCGTCGATTGATCTCTCGGTCGAAGTTGAACTTACCTAGTCGGACTATTTGTTCCAGGTAAACGCATTCTTCTTCTTTCATTTATCTTTGTTTTGTCCATGTTCATCTTAAGACCTACCCGTTGAGAGACACCATTGAGGTCATTGAGCATAGTGCTTAGGTTCTCCAGCGATTCTGCCATAAGGACTATATCGTCGGCAAATCGAAGGTGAGTGATGTACTCGCCATTGATGTTAATACCGTATCCTTTCCAGTCCAGTAGCTTGAAAACATCTTCCAATGCAGCGGTGAAGAGTTTCGGGGATATAACGTCACCCTGTCTTACACCTCTCTGCAGTTGGATAGGTTTCGAACTCTGGTTCTGTACTCGGATAGCCATCGTAGCCCTACTGTACAAACACAACAGCACTTCGATATACCGATAGTCAACTTGGCACTGCTGTCGGAACTGTAACATCGCCCAAATTTCGACGGAATCAAAGGCTTTCTCATAGTCCACATACGCCAGGCAAAGTGGCAGATTGTACTCTTCTATTTCTTAAGTTATCTGATTAGAAACCCAAAAACCCCATTAAAAGCAACAAAAATTTTTTTTTCATTATCATATTTGCCATGCATATGTGTACACCTATACGTTCCTGAAACAACCTGCTGGGTTTTAGTTACATTCTGTATTATATCGTAGTCTGAAATGAGTTTAAGAAACGTTTCGCACTCCCTTTGACGCTGGTAGCTGTTCTCTGTAAGTTACATTTGGCATA